ATCTCGCGTTCCGTGAGTTCAAGCCCCGAGTCGGGCTCTGTGCTGACAGCTCAGAGCCCGGAGCCCGTTTCAGATTCTGTGTCTCCCTCTCTCTCTGCCCCTCCCCCATTCATGCTCTGTCTCTCTCTGTCTCAAAAATAAATAAACATTAAAAAAAAAAAATTTTTTTTTTAAAAATCAGTGTCTGTGAACCCCAGAATTCAGTTGCCTTGAGCAACTCCTTCAGGTATTGAGGAGAACATGGCCTAACTCGAGAGAAGCCAGAGAAGCAGCCTCGGCCACTGTTTCCTGACATCACTCAAAAATGTTCTATCTAGATCCACTTTGGAGTATAGGTTTGAAATTAAAATACTATACCTTCTGGATTATTTTTTTCTTCAAATTGTTGGAAAATTTGTTAAGACTCTTTGGTCAAGAGGAGCACATTGATTTTTACACAGATTTGATGGATGTATTTGTTAAGGCAGTTTGCATAATAGTGGTGGAAACCAGGGGACTCCTGGGTGGATCAGCCAGTTGAACCTTCCAACTTTATTTCGGGTCATGATCTCACAGTTCACAGGTTCAAGCCCCATGTCAGGCTCTGTGCTGACAGCTCAGAGCCTGGAGCCTGCTTCAGATTTTCTGTCTCCCTCTCTCTCTGCCCCTCTCCCACTCATGGTCGGTCTCTCTCTCTCTCTCTCTCTCTCTCTCTCTTTCAAAAATAAACATTAGAAAAAATTAAAAAAAAAAAAGAATGGTGGAAACCAATTTCAGCTAGCTTAAGCAAAAAATAAGTTTTCACAAGGATTTTATAGGTTCCTTCTGGAATCTAAGGGCAGGTGTGCAGTTGAATTTCTCCCTCAATACATATGCAACCAAAAGTCAATTCACTTTTCTTTTCCCCATATCCTCCCCTGATCCCAGTTCAAGCTGCCGTCATTTCTCATTATTGAAACAGCCCCAGTACTTGGTCTCCTGAATTCTTCTCTTGTTTCATGCTAACCCCTTTCAGTCTGTTTTCCACACAGCATTATTCTTTTTTATATGCAAGTCTGATTGTGCCCTTTTTCTAGTTAAAACCTGTGAATGACACGACTCAAAAGCCATAAAATACTGTGAAGAAAGCAAAATAACAAACTGAAAAAGAAAAAGTTTGCGACAAATATGTCAAAGGATTAGAGTCCTTAACATAACAGGCTCTTACAAATCAATATGTAAAAGATGACCAGAAAGGAAAATGGTCAAAGACAACCAAAGCAGAAAAAGACATGAGCAAGCCTTTCCTAAAAACAAATACAGTCGACAGGCTTATGGAAAGATGCTCGATTTCACGTCCAATTAAAGATACAAATTAAAATGTCAAGGTACCGTTTTTTTAATTATGGGATTTGGGAAAAAAAGCTTTTTTTAATGACACCTAGTATATATAGGTCAGGGTATGGGGGAACACTCCTCCACTGCTGTCAGGGATGTGAACAGGTAGACTATTTTAGGAAGGCAATTTAACACTACCTGGGAAATTTAGTACAGTGCATGACCCTTGACGCAGCAATTCTATTTTCAGATCTATGTCTGCGCACATCCCAGTGCCCTGAAGTCTCTTCCATTCTGTGTCCCAGGGCTCCTGACAGGGAGTAGAAAGGCAGGGGTTGAGCAAAGGAGACTCATCTGGGTGGGATGGCTTAGGAGCCAGCTGATTGCCCCACACCCTTCAGTTTCCTCCTGCCCCATTTAACTGACACTCAAGATAACATTCATAAGAAATGATTGCCAGGCTCAATAGAATAAAAAACATGAATGCAAAATCAGCTGGTAGAGGCAACAATGTGAATGAGGTTTAGAGTGTAATTGATAATAGGATGTGCACAGGAACGTGTGGGTGGACTTATAGAAGTCTCCTCCTACGATAAGTTCATCTCAGCCTTACTGCTTCTGTCCACGTTGTTCACAGTAAGGGGTAGTCCTCACAGGACAATGCAGCTGTAAATGCATGATCCTTATAGTAAATTGAGAATCTCAGTGGTATTAAGGAAAAATGATCTTTAGAGCAACCAGACTCCAGACTTTTTTTCCTGTTTTGATCGTTGCATCATCTTTGTAGCAAAGTATTTTTATGCTGTTGGTTTTTTAACCAGAAAAGAACAAAGAGAAAAAGGAATGGGTTACAATACAATCTGCTTATTTAAAAAAAGAAGAAAAAATAATAAGGGCACCTAGGTGGCTCAGTCAGTTACAGTTAAGTGGTCCAACTTTGGCTCAGGTCATGATCTCATGGCTCGTGAATTGGTGCCCTACATCGGGCTCTATGCTGACAGCTTAGAGCCTGGAGCCTGCATTGGATTCTGTGTCTCTCTCTCTGCCCCTCCCTCACTCATTCTCTGTCTGTCTCTCTCTCTCACTCTCTCTCTGTCTCAAAAATAAATAAGCATTAAAGAAAGTAAATGAATAAAACAAAAGAAAAGGAATATATGTGTAAAGTTGCAAATTCAAATGGCAGAAAAAAAGGAAAACTAAAAGCCCTCCGTGCCCTACTCCTGATAAAGCCATTATTGTCTTAATTCTTTTCATATATCCTCGCATATCTGTGTATTCTTGTCTTTTTAATTACTCACAGGGGATACTATACACAATACTATAATACTATAACTTTGATTTTTTTTTCCGTTTAATAATACACCTTACAGAGCTTTTTCAAATGAGCACACACACAATTTTTTACCTCATCTTTTTTTTTTTTTTAACGTTTATTCATTTTTTGAGAGACAGAAAGAGAGCATGAGTGAAAGAGGGGCAGAGAGAGAGGGAAACACAATTCCAAGCAGGCTCCAGGCTCTGAGCTGTCAGCACAGAGCCTGACATGGGGTTTGAACTCACAAACCACGACCTGAGCCAAAGTTGGACGCTTAACCGACTGAGCCACTCAGGCATCCCTACCTCGTCTTTTTTAAGGGCACCTACAGTATTCCACCTGATTAATATGTCATAATTATTTTAACTTCCCTTTTGATGTTTTCGTTGTTTCCACATTTTTGTTATTTGAACATTGCTTCAGTAAGCGTCTTAGTATGTGTAGTTTTTTTCTTTTTAAGTTTATTTATTTATTTTGAGAGAGCGAGCAAGCAGGGGAGGGGCAGAGAGAGAAGGAAAGAGAGGGAATCCCAAGCAGGCTCCGCACCATCAGCACGGAGCCCGACATGGGGCTTGAACCTACGAGGCATGAGTTCATGACCTGAGCCAAACCAAAAGTTGGGCATTTAACCGACTGAGCCACCCAGGCGTCCCTGTATGTGTATCTTGATGAATTTTTGTGAGAAAATCTGTAAAGTAAATTCTTAGCAGTGGGATTGCTGGATCAATGGTTCTGTATTTTAAATGTTACTAGATAAACTGCCAAACTGCTTTCCAGAAAGTTTGTACTGATTTGCCCACTTGCCAGCAGGTTCTGAGAGTACCTGTTTACTTAACACCTGTGCCAGAATGAATGTGAAAACACATAAATGCTTTTTGTGTCTGTTAAGTAAAAAAGTAGTATTTCCTTGTCATAGTGGTTTACATTTCTTGATGTAACGCTGAGCAGCTTTACCATCTTTTCAAATGTTTATGATTTCCCCTCCCCTCATTAAACTAGGGAAAAAATTAAGAGACAGAAAAAACAGGGCCCTGAAATTAAGAAGAAAAAATTTTAGAGGAAGAAAAGGAAAAATGGGGCCCTAAATGGGGGTGGAAGATGGAAAGGATAGGGAAAGAGGGAAGAAAAAAGAAAGTCACAGATCCCTAGGACAAACCATGCCTCCTTCTTCCTCTTTCTAGGGCCCACCTGTATATCTTCACCTGTGCATAGACAGATAGAAGCTGTGAGCAGAGGTATTCCGTGTCCTTCCAGACCCGAAAACTCATGCTGCTGCTTTACAGAAATACGTCTTCACTCCCTGCTCTCCCCTCCAGATCTGGCACTCACCACACCCAGGGGCTTTTGGCCTTTCCTTCCCCCTCTCCTTGCCTTTCTTTGCCTTCTTCCTCTCATTTCTCTTCTTTTTCTCCATCCTGGGAGCCTCTTTTCCTCCTTTCTTTCTCATTCTTTTTCCCAAGAGCTCATCTTTCTCTCCTGCCCCTGCTCGCTCCTCTTCGTTAGTTTCTGTGTCCTCCCAACCATTGTATTTTGAATTTGAAAGTTAATTTGTAGATGATTTCTACAAATTAGTTAATAGTTATTAGTGTTGTTAATAAAGTCTTACGTACTTTTCTCTAAAACGCTAACGGATGAAATGCAGTTTCCTCTTTTGCCTCTCTCTAAGCAAAAATAATATGACATAATTTGATTTAAAAAACAAAAAAGTTTTTTCTAACTTACTCTAAACCTTTACATTTAAGTATTTAATAGACTGTGTAGAATTTTAATAATGTAGAATTTTAACTTTGCATAATGTCAATGCTGTCGCCTTGGACTAAATCTCCTTCTTGAAGGAGACACCTGTCTTAGGATTGTGCACCTGTGCTCATATTTTAATACAGTGCTTCAAGTTACTTGGTTGTCACAGTTGAGCTGTAAAGTCCCCAAGGAGAAAAGGAAAGCTGTTCACTCATTCCCTTTCTCTCTGCAGATTCTCTTATGCTTAGTTCACCACTTCTTAAGAGCAGGCAGCTTCTTCATGATGAATTTGGTGAAGTCAACCCATGTCTTCGAGAACCCCGAGATCTCTTTACCTTCTTCTCTAGCAGTGGGCCTCTGCAGGCTCCGAGGTGGCCAATAGAATGTGAGGTCATCAAGGAAAACCTTCATCATATTGGTAATGTGACTTCTGTGTCGCGGTGCTGTCCTGACAGACATTATTATGAGAACCTATTAAGTCCAGCATACTGAAGTACAAGGCAGGACAGATTCAACATCTGTTAGCTCATCCTGAAATGATTAAGCCCTGGGAAACTGATATACACTGGTCAAAGTAAAAGTTACACCAATGTGTAAGCTCAAATGCTTCAGGGTTTATTGGAATGGAGGGATACCTTTCTAGAGGCTGAAATATATCAGTACTTACATCTGCCTCAGTATTAATATGATTGAGTTTTAGGAATTGTATTTTTTTTTTGACTCAAAATCACATGATGTAACATTTTTTTTTTTTACTTTTTTTAACTATTAGAATTTATTTATTAAATGTTTTATATGTCATCTTTAGATATTTTCTATTATGATCTTTTCATTTGTTTATTTTATTTCATTTTATTATTATTATTTTTTAATTTACATCCAAGTTAGTTAGCATATAGTACAACAATGATTTCAGGAGTAGATTCCTTAGTGCCCCTTACCCATTTAGCCCATCCCTCCTCCCAGAATCCCTCCAGTGACCTTCTGTTTGTTCTCCATATTTAAGAGTCTCTTAGGTTTTTGTGCCCCTCCCTGTTGTTGTATTATTTTTGTTTCCCTTCCCTTATGTTCATCTGTTTTGTCTCTTAAAGTCCTCATATGAGTGAAGTCATAATGATATTTGTCTTTCTCTGACTAATTTCACTTAGCATAATACCCTCCAGTTCCATCCTCATAGTTGCAAATGGCAAGATTTCATTCTTTTTGATTGCCGAGGAATATTCCATTGTATATATATACCACATCTTCTTTATCCATTCATCCATTGATGGACATTTGGGCTCTTTCCATACTTTGGCTATTGTTGATAGTGCTGCTATAAACATGGGGGTGCATGTGCCCCTTTGAAACAGCGTACCTGTATCCCTTGGATAAATACCTAGTAGTGCAATTGCTGGGTCGTAGGGTAGTTCTATTTTTAATTTTTTGAGGAACCTCCATACTGTTTTCCAGAGTGGCTCCACCAGCTTGCATTCCCACCAGCAATGCAAAAGAGATCCTCTTTCTCCGCACCCTTGCCAACATCTGTTGTTGCCTGAGTTGTTCATGTTAGCCTTCTGACAGGTGTGAGGTGATATCTCATTGTGGTTTGATTTGTATTTCCCTGATGATGAATGATGTTGAGCATTTTGTCTTGTGTCAGTTGGCTATCTGTATGTCTTCTCTGGAGAAGTGTCTATTCATGTGTTTTGTCCATTTCTTCACTGGATTCTTTGTTTTTTGGGTGTTGAGTTTGATAAGTTCTTTATAGATTTTGGATACTAACCCTTTATCTGATAGGTCGTTTGCAAATATCTTCTCCCATTCTATCGGTTGCCTTTTATTTTTGCTGATCGTTTCTTTCACTGTGCAGAAGCTTTTTTATTTTGATGAGGTCCCAATAGTTCATTTTTGCTTTTGTTTCCCTTGCCTCTGGAGACATGTTGAGTAAGAAGTTGCTGCGGCCGAGGTCAAAGAGGTTTTTGCCTGCTTTCTCCTCAAGGATTTTGATGGCTTCCTGTCTTACATTGAGGTCTTTCATCCATTCTGAGTTTATTTTTGTGTGTGGTGTAAGAAAGTGGTCCAGGTTCATTCTTCTGCATGTCACTGTCCAGTTTTCCCAGCACCACTTGCTGAAGAGACTGACTTTATTCTATCAGATATTCTTTCCTGCTTTGTCAAAGATTAGTTGGCCATACGTTTGTGGGTCCATTTCTGGGTTCTCTATTCCGTTCCATTGATCTGAGTGTCTGTTTTTGTGCCATAGGAGTTGTATTTTTACTAGCCTTGGTATAGCTGACGAACACTATACATACCAGAACATAGTTTTTACTGTTGTTTTGTTGTTGTTGTTGTTGTTGTTGTTGTTGTTGTTGTTGTTAGATTTTTTTTGTTGGTTTTTTTTTAAGTAGGCTTAAGCCCAGTGTGCAGTCCAGTGTGGGGTTTGAACTCACAATCCTGAAGATCAAGACCTGAGTTGAGATCAAGAGTCAGACAGACACTTAGCTGA